ATGGATCGTTGAACAACCAATATTACTAACGTTGTATTCCCATCTCAGGCTCGAATAATGAAACATGAAATTGTTGAACGGTTTCCACGACACTCGGTAGCTTAGACCTTTACCAATCTTTGATGAATTGAGAATAGGCAGGTCTGCATTGGGGTCCCCAGTCGTACCGGAACTTAAGTGGGTAAAGTGGTTCGAGAATCTACATCGTATAATTTTGATGATTATATATAGCAAACGGCCTCGAGGCAGGCGTAGCAACTATCTCGGATGCAAAATGTCATTGTCTCCGGTGAAATCTTGATCTACTCACTAGGTACTTCCTTTCTTGAAAATGATCTACTCATATCGAGGAAAGGTGTAGAGATCAGAGACGACAAGGGAACGAACATATTTCTGCTGCACATACCTACTTCCCACAATTACAATCATCGTTTCAATCTAGTCTAGTCTACGTCAGGTCACGTGGACATCTAACCTTGTAACCGCCAGGGTTAATTTCTTCAGCGCTTACTTGCAGAGCTAGACAACCACCACCATACAGGTAACGAGGCTTATCATCACATCAAACATGGGGTCAACTATTATGGCAGCGGCTATGTATCTTAAGTCCAGCGTTAGTATCATGCAGTCTCACACATCGTACCTGAAGAATTGTGACGCCATGTATATGGCCCATAAGCCGGCTGTTGGAAAGACCCTATTGGTCTTCAAGGTAACATTGCGGGGGTCGTCTGGTGTTGTGTGAGCATATCGCTGATTTCTCTTGATGGAAACTTTCTACATCATTATTTCATTTTCTTCCCTTCAGTTTTCTCACGTATTTCCTTGCCGTCGAGTTTTTTTCCTTGGTTTTTTCTATTCCCTTTCTTCTATCAGTATCATCAGTACCATGGGTTTCTTTGAAGTTCATCTTAGATTCGTGTTATAATGATGTATGAGACGCTGGACGACTCGGAAAGTGATTTGTTTCCATCTTTGAGGTCAGTAGAATCTATTTCTGGTTCTTTTACTTCACATACATATGCCACCTGAATCGAGACCATGAATTAGAGCTCTTGTGTCCAACAGATTGAGTGACTCGAAGAACTATGACCTCAACTCTTCTATCATCACAAGCATTATGAAGTTTCAAAATGTTCAGAACAATTTGGAAAATGTATATACACAAACAATGCTGACATCCCCATTCCTACAGTGTTTCCCAGAATGGCAATGTTACCATTGAGCCTCCTCATACTCATATATGCATTCTCGACTTGTGTTAATGCTGAATTTTCTTTGCCATCTCAAGTAACAGGTTTTATTCCTTCGTGCGCTCAAGTCTGCTTTGAGTCCTTTGTACAAGACAACTATCCAACAAATGTTTGTGGCGACACACCTACGTTTGACTGCTTATGTGAAAATGGTAGCAAGTCTACATACACGGTGGGGGAGGGGGCAGTACAATGTATAATGTCAGAAGCCAGCGTGGGCTTCTGTAGTGGAGATGACTCTTCTAGTAAGTCATTGTCGAGGGTTTGCTTGACGGAAGTTTCTAATTTGTCCTGCAGATGATACAGTGCTAAAAGCATACAATATGTGTAATTCCGACAAGAATGCACTGCCAAACACACACAGTACTCTTACAGCAACTCTCGTTCTACAATCAGGCTCCGCAAGTATCGTCCAGATTGCACCAGTGGCAACGACAAGTGCTAGTGATTCAGTAGCTACAACTTTATTCACAACTGCCCCTACAGCTACAGCTACAACTACAACTACAACTACTCCAAGTCCAACCACGAACTCAAAATCATCGTCAGGGGTACCACAACCGGCAGCTGCCACGAGTGCCTATTCATCACCGGAGAAGAGTAAGCCAGTACTATCAACTGCGCAAATAGCTGGAATTGTGGTAGCAGGCGTCGGTGCTGTGGTTTTGGTAGTTGGAGCTATATTGCTATGTGCCTGTATGAGGCGTAAAAGGCAAGCAAACCGAGATAGCGGGTATCTCCCATTCCAGCAAGAGCCTTCTTTGAGCATCAAATCTCAATCTCACTTCGGTATTACGAAGCCAATGGCGCCATCACCAGCTTCCATTTCAACCCGAGGACCAACACCAATGGGACCATTTTTAGGGGCTCGAATGCCTTCGAGGGGGGGGCAGCCAAGCCCCGATTCTTTTTCTCAAAGGAACGCTATCCCAGAGAACATCGGTCTTGCCATGACCTCCGAGAGCCCCCAAAACAATATGTTAAACCCCATAGGTTACACTGAAGAAGTATTCCAACGTGGCCCATCTCCACTTTTGCCCGAAAGACCAGCTCTCACCCTGCAGGTTCCTTTCCAGCGAAATCCCAACGAGATCCATACTGCTGCCTATCAGCAACCATCAAAATTCACGAGCAATATTCGGCAATCTATGGATACACAATTCGAAGATGAAGATTCATGCAGCACAGCTGTAGCATCCGAAGCACCATGGAATGCGGCCTCTTACGGATCCATATCAAATGAAAAGGCTCTCCGACAGCCTGATCCCGCATATTATCAATCACCTCGCCTCCAAGGTGAGCTCTCGCCAAATGAAACAGAACATATTATCGATTCCTACAAGGATCCTTCAGTAGAGTCTGACTTCTACGTACGCCCCCTTAATCTCCAAAGAAACTTTTCACAACCTCGTCGGCCCGAAAATGCAATGAAACTTTCTACTCAACGCAATCCATCTTTCAAGGATCCTCTTAGAGCAATCTCATCTGTGTACTCTGCAAAATCCCACAACCGTCGACCCTCTTCAAATGAAGTCGAGAAGTTAAACTCACTCATGCAATCTAACCCCTCATTTCGTCACGTGATAGGAAAATCCACATACAATCCCGTAGGACCATATGATCAAAACCGCACCTCTAGAGCTTCGATAGGATCTATGACATCCTTCGAAACCATGGATTCTATCAATCCTGAACCCCTAGAGCTTTCGGGCGACACTAATCTCAGCCCTGTCGTCGAATCACCTACTGACAAATCAAACGTGATCGGTAAATCACCAGTCAAATACCCCAAAATCAAAGGAAACCCAAGCCAGCGCCATTCTCGTACTCGTACCCGAAAATCGATCATAACCAATTTCCCCGCACCACCGCCAATATCTATCGAGTCACCCATCCGTCCCCCTACAGCACATAGTAATAAACCATGGCAAGAAGCCGAGATCGCCGCTCAGAAAACGCGCATGGCATCTCTAGGACTATCGCCCGGAAACTTTCTTTCGCCAGGCTCTCACAACTCGGGCATCACTATTCGAAAAAGTAATGACTTTTTCAGTCCCACCGATTTAGCTTCAAGAAGTCCTCCACCACCGATCCCGTTACCATTACCACCAACTTTTAAACAGAGGGATATCAGTCCAAGAACTACGAATGGAAGTGGGAGTAAAAAAAGCGCCCCGCCCCCTTCTTTAAGTCTCGCCACATCACCAAATTCATCACAAAAATGGAGAGTCCTTCCCGACACCAACACTAATATTAACACTACCAACACCACCACCACTCCTTCCCACCAACAAACCTCACCAACCGTCGTATCTCCACACTGGCGGCCACAAATACTCACCGGGATATTGAGAAAAGATAGCGTCCAGTCCTTACACAAACCCGCCACCAGTGTCTCTTCCTCCAACACTAAACCCTCTCAACCACTTTCTGTCCCCCTCCACACTTCCATGGACCCCGAAGTATCCTCAATCTACAGCCAAGAAACACGCAATTTCACATTCGATCCACGTCTTACACAAATGACTACCATGTCTGAAATAAAAGCCCAGGGACAAGCTCCTATTGGTTCTTCGAACGAAGATGCCAGTACAGCTACAGATACAAATATGAACGGTAGATCAGTCGTATATACCAAAGACGATGGGTCGGGAGAAACTATCACTATCAATATCAATGGGGATAATTCCAGTGGTTTACCAAAAACACCGGGTTGGCTACCGAGATTGACGCCCACGAGACGGGGAAATGATTTGTTTTTGAATGTGCAATAGTGTGATCCATATACTATTCGAAGAAGTGGGGATATGATGTAAGCGTGAAGGCAAGTAAGAGGAGGGCGTCGGTTCATTGTTTTAAAACATGATCAGTAGATATTCTCCTATCGTGCTCAGTTTCTTTTCCTTTTGTGGTTAATCTTGTATGAGTATGAGTATGAGTATGAGTATGAGTATGAGGTTATGCATCGTAGGATGAATAGGATAGAATGGGAAAGGATCGATGCTGGATTAGGCATTTTCAGGAACAGATCCTACATTCTTTATTTCTTTTGTCGAAGAAAATACCCAAGTTAGGAATGCAGGATATGGAGTTACAGAAGCATTGTAGGAGTCATAGCTTTTACAGGGATGGGCGTTAGTTTTGTTGTTACAGTGTACTTTAGGAAAAGGCCTGGGGATTCTTTGCATGCATTCAAAGCAAATTCAAGCTATGAGACTTGGGGGACATATTTGGGGTCTACTATATTATTAGTAGCTATTTAAATCTTGATCTACCAATGTGGTTACACTTCTCGTATTAATGGTATCGCTATCGATGTAGCTGTGGCTCGACGACAAAAGTAAAGCGAAGACATGAATGAATAAGAAACAAATTAAAATAGTTGCAATGGAGGAATGACAGGAATTATGATTATGATCCCGCGTGAAAACATGAATTAGAGAAAGACAGAATGGGAACGATTAGAAAGGGGGCAATTTGAAGTCGGATGACAACTTCGTGAGAGAAATACAAACGCAATTTGAATATACCGTCCAGATGCATTTACCGTCCCAGGGCATCTCTTATCTTCGTAAAATTCGGTACATCCATGCCAGAACCCCAGACTCCTGTATATTCGCGAAATACGCCAATTTCCCCGCTTGTACGCGAAAAGAGAAGAAATTATAACATCCATATTTCGATCGGCTCGCGGAGTACATGGGGAACGCAATAGAGACGTATGATCGGAATCGCTTGATTGACAAGTTAGTCCTGCCAGTGAGTAGGAATCACTGGCTCGACAGCCTACTTTTCCAAATATCTTATCAGTCTATCCATCCAATTTTCGTTCATTCGTTCAAGAATGTGCTTACATATTGGTCTGATTCGAAGGGGTCATCGGTAAATGGTAGCTCATTCATGATGCTTGGAATTGGTCTGGGTTTCTCGTCTGTTTCTTGAGATTAGCAATGTGCAACAAGTAATAAGGTGAATGCTAGTAATTTACCAGAGGAGAATACACGACGAATTTCTTGAATCTTCGATTGCAAGGTTTGTGTGTCAATTTTAATCTTTGGAGGGGAATTGGTAAGACGGAATTCAGCCTGTAGATGTAAGTGTTCAGGAGATTCATTTGGCAAAGGGGAAGTTTGGAGAAGAAATTGTCTCTCTAGATGCATGCCTTGATTGAGAGCCGGCAAATTAATCTCGCTTGGTGGGTCAATGTCCTGTACCGTTACAAACGTAGATTTTGAAGAGATGCTTGAGCGCTGGCTAGATGGGACAAGCATAGGGGAATCATTGAGGAAGTCTTGTCTCTCTGGGTGTATGCCTTGGTCTGAAGCAGATAAAAGGGCTTCGCTTTGTGAGTGCATTTCTTGTGATGTTATGGGCAATGGAGGAGTGCTTGAATGCTGCGCAGATGATTCGAATGATTTTGCAAAGCCAACATCTTTCTCCACATCGGTCGTGACTTTCATCTTAGATTCAGTCGGTGGTATTTGTCGAGGTTTTCTCATGCGAGAGTACAAGAGGGAGGATATTTGGTGCTGGATATCCAAGCCCTCCGCTTTGCTCTGCTTTTTTCTCTTAACCAACAATGATCTCACATCTGTGACGGGGCTGACGGGGGTATCTTTTGACACTGACGCCGATTGTTCCAAAGTTATTGTTTGCTTAAGGGGTTTGGATTCTCCTACGGAAGTAGCGAGCGGAATATGATTCGAAGTGGTTTTGTTAGCTGCTTTAATTGCCATTGATTCTTTATGCTTACGACTAGCAATTTCCACCCATGATTCTTCAATTGGGCTTGAACGCTCAAGAGATTTGTAGGCAGGTTCCACAAATTCTCGGTGCTTGCGACTGGAAGATTTCGTCCACGACTCTGTCGTCAGTGTCTTGAAATGGTTAGAAGCAGGAACTTTCAATCGCATATAAAAGGGGGCGGGTAAAAGCTACCTCTTCGTCATCTAGTGATTTTCTAAGAATATAAGTTGATGCAAGAGAAAGGGTTCGGCTTTTGTACTCAGAAAACATACTCGCATCTCGGATGGAATATGATGGTCTATAGTAATCACTATTTTGAACGCCCCGATCCGTAGGAGTATCTCTGTGAGGAGACGGTCTGAAAAAAGAACCTCTTGAAGCGCCAACATTAGCAGAAGAGCCTCTTCGAGAAGATTTTTCATAGTAGGAGCCGTTTCGAGTGTCTTGGTCTCTATGATATGGAGATCGAGATCTATAGGAACTGGAGGTTGATATCTTCTGGGCCGAAATAGAGGAATTAGAGCGGCGGGACTGACGAGACTTGTGCGGGCTTTGACTGATATAGGAGCTTTTGGGGCTTCTGGAACGCGGTCGATAGTGATTGTAATACCGGCGGGTTCTGGGAACGGAACGATAGTGGACGTCAGGGCTTCTAGAGCGGGACCGAGAGCGTTTACGACAGGCGGGCTGATGAGTTTCCAATGGGGAGCGGGAACGGAAACTATACTCATTGTCCCCTTCTTGCTTGATCGATCCAAATATGTCAGACAAGCCTTCGGCACGAAAGTGAGGAAGGTCCTCATCGTTCTTTTCCTGCTTGATTGGACTGGAATTATGAGTTGGAATTTTGGTACGAGAACCCAGAGGCTCTTTATTGGCATCTCCAGTCATCCCCTTTCCCTTGCCCATTGTAACTAGATTCGATTAATAATTCTTTTTTTGCTAAATGCAAAACTGCTGTTAGTAGGTAAAGTAATGGTGATCAAAGTGGCAGAGAGCAACTTGAATTTAGCACTATATCTCCTGGGAAAAGAGAAAGCCAAGATAGGTAATCTTGGAATAATATTTGTAACAGGTTATTAAAGACTGTTTGTATGACTCTGAAAGAATTTGAACATGCTGTGGAATTATTGTGTTTATTCTTGTTTACAAATGTTGTGGAAGAGATCTTGGTGTAGATATCGGAGGTACTTCGGGTAAACAAGGGCTTTTCTTTTGTCTCTGTCTCTCGAGAGAAAGACCTCTCCTCTCTTATGGCTGTGGCTTATTTAAGTTTTTCTTTCAAAATTTAAGAATACTAAGCTATTCACCAACATGAACATAAAATTTGGTATCCAGCAATTATTATCCATCTCATCACTACCAGTGTCTAATAATGATATACCTTTCAAAAAGTTTGGTCAAGAACCAATTGTAGATTGAGCAATGTCAAACATCAAGGCCTCGTTTACCTACCTATAGGGGAAAGGGAAGATTGTCATAGAGCCTCAACTCATATATCTAATAGAGTACCTGGCATCTACCTACAAAGTGGAATCTGACATAATATCCTGTCCGAATCTAAATCGCATTCCACCAATCAATGTATTCTTTGGTAACACTCTACCTGGATCAACCTAGGCTACGGAAGCGACTTGCATGAATGATCAATGATCAACATTTTATCTCTTCAGCCTTACAAAGAACTCCACAAGATACCGACAGCTGTCACAAGCTGCTCGCAAACTATCCAATAGAGTTTGCATACCTAATACCCCATTTTATGACAGAACTTTGGTATTTTGGATTCTTTTCATTATGGATTTCTCGAAGCCCCCATCGTTACCTCTATCGCTCGCCCCCAATGATATTCATGGATATGAAAGATGCAAGGCTTGCTTTCAAGTAATCTTCGTTTGGCAACATTACCATCCTCTGGGGCCCCCAGGATCTTCCTATTCTGCTCTCCGAAGATGGTCTATATTTGTGGTTGTCCAGTGCTGCCTTTCCTTTCGCATTTTTCACTACTACTCGGGCATCTGTCTGACCTGCATATGCCCCTCGTAAATGCTTCTGCAAGCCTCACATGTATGCTTAATGGTGGAGATGATGCGAAGATTGCGTATCTCTCGTTTCCTGTGGCTAATACCGGCCAGTGATAGCAGCAGCTTTGTCCTGGTTTGAATTTTGGGCATCCGACAGGCTTCTCAGATTCAACGAGGCCGGCGGTCAGTGATCCATCATAAATCCGGATTAACTTCCTAAATTTACCAAGATGGAATGTACCAAGCGATACTTTCTACAGGCGTTCGAAGGCTGATTTGGCTGAAGCCTGGTCACTCCCACATCCCAGCGATACTTTCTCATGGGGAATCGCACATTTGGTGGGAAAGAAAAAGGCCGGGGCTCTCCCACACTCTTTGAGTTTGAGTGTCATGATTTCATTCAGCCCTTTACAGTCGGATTTACATGGCCTGGTATTTGCCGGCATGCAGATAAGGATCAGACATCAAGATCCGTGGGAATGTTTTACGTAGATGTCTTCACCAATTGTACCATAAATTGCGTTTCGTGCCAAATTTAATGACAGCGGCCACATCTGTGGTAAGATCTATCCTTTTTCTGGAGCTCTGCCGGCTAATTCTACATCAAAGTGTCATCATATTCAAGTCTTCCCGCTCCTCTTATGCCCGTGGCCACAGATCTATGGTATCTGGCCAACCGCAGATTCTTGGAACGGATTCTAAGAGGCCTAAGGATAATTTATCATGCGGGCAAAAATCCTTTCCGTCTGAGGATTGACCCTTGAAATCGAACTACCGCTCTTATTCCTGGACGGCTAGCTTACCCAAGATCCCGGTGTACCAACTTGCCACCTGCATCACCCTCGTGGTCAGCTATTCCCTCTCATCCTGTAATGCTTTCTTAGCTAATTGCATTGAACTCCTTCTGAAAATTCTGGGTAAATTGCACAGTGCTCGCGAGTTAACACAATTCTATCCAGTCGTATCAAAGATAATTTTTTGACTCATAAAGCGGCCTAGTACTTTCTCTATCATCATGGCTAGCTACCTCTTCTGGCTACAGGATTGTCTGGTCTTTCGTTTTTACTACTTTTAATACATTTAACGATTTAGAATCTAGTTACAGACTTGAGTTCCTTCTGGGTACATAAACATGGTAACAATTGACAATGAGATGGCAAACAACATGATGAGAATTGCAATAGCAGGCTCGGGCGGCTTGGCCCAGATTATCGCTCATGAGATTCGCAAGACTGTACATCCATTCATCATATTATCGAGACAGGTCAGTTGACTCCAGCACGTCGACATATCTGAACAAGCCTAACCATTATCTTTAGGGACAACCAGATCTAGAGACACACGGCTATCAAGTGGCTGTAGTCAATTATGACGACCAAAATAATCTTCGCTTTAATCTTCGAGGAATAGATATAGTCATTTCCACGGTATCTGGCAACCCTCAAATCAACCTCATCGATGCCGCCGCGCATTCCCGCGTTCAACGTTTCATCCCTGCAGAATACAAAGATAAGCTAGGCGGGCGACCAACGAATGGCCCCTCAGACCGTGGAAGGGCTGCAAGCATTGAAAGACTTCGACACTGGGCTCACCACCCCCGTCATCAAATGCAATATACTGTTTTTGGATGTGGGGTTTTCTATGAACGATTCGCCCTAGGAGGCCTAGCTTCAATGGGCATCAGCACTTCAACTGCACTCGGCTATCAAGGTTCTTATCTCATGAATATGGAGACAAACACAGCAGAAATAGTGGAATATAATACTATGGGTCAGGCAATTTCAGTATCGATGACATCTGTAGGTGATGTGGCGCGGTTCATCGCAGCAGCTCTGTATTTAGATCAACGGATATGGCCGATAGAGTTCAGGATGCAGGGAGACCGGAAAACTGTAAGTGAAATTATGCAGTATGCTGAAGCTATCAAAGGACGTAAGTGCTCTTCTGTTTATCTTTGATTGCACCTCTAAAGCAAATGCTAACAAGAATAGCAGAGCCATTTGCAACAACAATAATTGTAGCCCCGGAACTGGAGGCAAATATTCAGGAAGCAGCTTATTACCAAGATAGTGCTAGAGTTGGCCGCTTACAGGAGTTATCTGCTACTGAGGAGAGAAGATACGACTTCTCGCAAGTCAATCTGAATTCATTGGTCAACATCCAGCCAGTTTCGTTTTGGAACTGGCTACGAACCCATTGGGCACCTCGGTGACCTTTACGCTAGATTGTGATTAAGGACGTATATACAACATCAAGATACCAAAGACTCCAGCCTCAGAAATGTCATTATGTGATCTGACATGTAGGATAATACTGCATGGCGATTTCGCCCAGTCTCGGAATACTGGACCTAAATGGATATAAATTATGAAGGCAAAGGAAGTGGATATGAGATCACGAGGACCGAAGAATATTGTCGCAAGCGAGGATTGCATGCTGATTCACTTATGTCATGAATACTGATTTATTTCCTTCATTCTTTTTAGTTACTCGAATTGTATTTCGGGCATGTTACTCAACTAGACAAATCTTCTATTTGGAATATGACGAATATGATCAGCCTTTATGTCCTCGCACTTTGATATGCACTGTGTTGTATATAGACAAAGCTCTTGAGCTATTTTCCTAACACCAGTATCTTGCACATTGGAAAATCACTCAAAAATACAAGTACCACAATAACAATGAGATAGATGAATAGTATTGATGGGATATTGATGTTGTGTAAATGGAATGATCTCTTTCATGCCTTTCTCCAGAAAATGTTGACCTTGAGAATTGTTCTTGAGTGTTTAGATCGAGGTGGATGGGGCTGTGAGAATTGACACAGGCGAGACAGGCCCTCTTTTGACGGTTTGTGTCTGTTAGGGGGATAGATCATAAGAAACATTGGAGGAAGAGATCATTAAATTCGTTTTCTCGTAGCAGCAAAAGGAGCAAAGAGCTTAGCAACCGTACTATTCTAGTGATAAGAATATATTTATGTAAATTTGCAGACAGATACATCAACTCACCGTAGTAATTGTTCAAGAAGTTTTTGAGCGAGGCATAGGATTGGCTATATGTCACATGATCTGTATAATTCCGACGCTAGCGAAACGTAAACATTGAAACCCCCATGATATCGCCAACCAAACCAACGCATTCAATCACTCAACCCAGCAGCCCGCGATCTCCCACGAATTCCCCTCTCAAACAATCCTAACTCTAATACCAATATTTGTCAATCAACGCGACGATACACGAGATAACCACGCAAAATAACCACGCGAAATCTACCTCGATCTCCAATTTTAAAGCGACAATCGCCCGGACAACAAGAAATCCAAGGAAGCAAATGCGCTACTAGGACATCAATGACTACCCTCGTACGAGCTCGAAATCCTCTAGAAACTCTGAAAATGAGCCAACAACCGGCGACGCGAAGAAGGAGTAAAAGATTGGCTAGTGGGTTGCGATATTTCTTTTTTTGGGGTTTGCGATTATGGGAGGGGAATGCTGGAAGATGGATTTTTTTTGGAGTGCATTGGCCAGAAAGTTACTAACAGAAGTATAGGTTATGATGAAGAAGATGGAGATTTTCAATTCACGCGTGTATCCAAGAAGGCCAAAACTACTGTATCTGTTCCAGATCCAATACCAGAGGCACCGCCCGTAACGACGACGGTACCTAGGAGGACTAAAAAGGCAGCCCGCGAGCGCGAAAGCCACAATGTTGCACCGGCGTCATCACCTCCTTTCAAGAAAACGAGAGCAGCACCCAGAACAAATCTTTCAACGCCGAAAGAATCGAGGGTAGAGAAGGTACAGAAACCCAAGAATGAAGTCGAACCGAAACGGGCAACTAGGAAAAGTACGCGTTTATCGACGGAGAAATTTCAAAATGGGGACAATAATTCAACCAATGGAAGCCGGGATTACGACAACAGTATTGATATGATTGGTGGTGCACCTCAACCAGAGGAATCGAACAGGTCAACTATAGAAGCTCCGAATAACACACACTCTACGGTCATTGCCTTGCCATTTAGCGATACCCCAATTATCAATCGAAATAAGGAATTGCGAAAGAAAGGTGGGACGGGTCAGAGGAGGAGTAGCTTGGGTATGCGTGGGAGGAGGGCGAGTTCACTCATTGACAGTGGATATAGCGCAATACCCCACAAAGAGGTCGAAACCTCACAATTTTACAAACATATTGAGGATGGACTACCTGAGCCGAGAAGGATGAAACAGCTCTTGACCTGGACGGGCGAAAGAGCTCTGCCGGAAAAACCTGCGCATGGCGATCCGAATAGTGGTGCAAAATTAGCAGGTGAGTACTTTGGTCAAATGTAAGGTTCAGAGACAGGACTGACGAGTACAGCGAGAGCAATATCTGAAGCTCTTCTCAAAGACTTTGGGACTAATAACACATTTTCGAACTGGTTCGATCGGGAAGAAAAACAGCCGACCAGGATAACGAAAGTGGTCAAGAAACCCAATCCTAAGAACCTCGAAGCAGAAGAAAACATACAGGCTTTAGAAGCTCGAGTCAAACAGTATGGGTTGTCTTTTCAATACTCAAGATATGAGCTAACAACCACTAGACTAGAAATCGAAAAATCGCAATGGATATCCTACAAAAAGCCCACTGCCCCTCTTCCACCCCTCTTCCCTGATACGCATGACGAAGCAAATCCGCTTTCCCCCACTCATATAGATCCTACTCTTCTAGACCCCGAACAATCTGCCATTCTCTCCCTAATAACGTCCTCGTCATCTTTGTCCCTGCGCGACAACGCTTCGGAAAGACTCAAGGATATTCATCAAGAAATCGAAGGGAAAGTAGATTGTTTCTTGGACGGCATACACAAAATTGAACGATATGCGGAAACAGTAGGAAGGGTCGCGGATAAGATATTGGCTTTGAGTGCGGTGAGGCTGGAGGAGAGGGAGAGGAGGGAGAGGGAGGTAGTGGGGACGAGAGATGTGCCAATGGTAGAGGTGCTGAGGAGTTTGAGCAGGATTCTTCCCGAGGGGAGCACGAGGTAATCTTGCCTGTGATTTATCGATGCAAGTCTCGATCCATTTGCTGTGTAATGGGAGATTTCATAATTACAGGGGGCTCCGTCCCGCTTCACTAGAAATTTAAGGCTTGACAAAATATATGGGTTCAATGGCCAAGCCCAGGAAACGCCTTTGCGAATGGAGATTTTAAGAGGGATGGGAAATGAGTAGAGCGAAGATGGAATATTCAATGAATGATGATAAAGCGACTTTTGGCAAACAATTTGTTTTCTTCTTCACCCGTTTTTGGCTATCTTGGTCATTGTGAATTGGAAGAGTAGATAGTAGGCTTGCTTCTTGTTGATTTTTTTTGTACAAATGGATGGGTCAGGGTGTGGAGAACGCAATTCTCATGGAGTAAAGGGAATGTATTGGGGCATAGGGGTGTTTATGGACAATGGCTGACATTGGCAACTGCATTTGAACATTACGACGGTGACGGTTGTGACGGTGGATTTGATAGAACAAATTAATCAACCATCAAGACATATGACGGTCTTGACAAAATTGTTGCTGAATTGTTTCAGAAATGTGGAATGTGCGGGGTATGTAGTGTGATGTGAGATAAAGGCGAGCTCTTAGCCTCTATGTCTTCACCGTCTATGAATTACGAACAATTTTAATATCACTGATAAGTGTCAGGAACTATAATCAAATACTTGTTTCGTCATTGCAATGAATGTAATTATATCGGAACCTACGAGTAGACTTGGATCGTATACAGTGGAGAAATACGATGGTAGAGGTATCAGTAGGGAGATGGTATCAGAGGCTGCAAAACTGTTTAGTCGAGAGTATGACGTATGGGGTTCGTTAGCGAGTGAGAAAATGGGAGAGGGAAAGAAGAAAGGTAGGTGAGTTCTTCGTGATATGATTAATTGTGTAGTTGTGGTTATGTATCTGCATGATTTGGGTTGTTGGGGACATTCAATGGATTTGGAGTATTGAATTCAGTTACGACGTTCAACTGCTTTGTAATATCCAAATCATTTCGTACATTCGATTTACTGGAAAGCTTAAATTTGCTGAAGGCATCAGTTCCATCTAGACATTTGCTATATTCGTATATTATACACACAGTGCTGATCAAAATTCAAACCCCCACAGGCTCACGAATCAAAATGTCAAGTGAAAGACTCATCACCCAAATATTACCCCCTAAGGCACAAAATACATACTTCCGCGTCCTAATCGACGGCAATTTAGCAGGCAACGTTTTTGCTGTCCGCTGGCAGCACAAAGATCTTTCTATCCTGTGGATTACACAGCTCTGCGTAGATGGCAAATGTAGAAATCGGGGGGTGGCTAAAAGGATGCTCGGACATTTAAAAGGGGAAGAAGAAATGGTGGGGATTTTTTCCAGTCATCCATTTGCGTTGATGGCTGTTTTGAGGGTTTGGGGGAGGGGAGTAGAAGATGTTGATAGGGATTTGGAGATGATGAAAGGAACTGTGAAGGGGGTGATGGAGGGGTGTCCGGTAGGGTATGTGAAGGAGGCGAAATTGAGAGGTTCGCTGTTCGGAGAGGGGGGCGGACGAGCAGTGGCGTGTGCCGATACGCAGTTTTGGGTCGATCATGAGGAGCCGCTTGAGGCGTTGAGGAGAGTAGAGGAGAAGGGTCTTGTTTGGCCTTGTGGAGAGTTACCTGATGGTTGTGAATTTGTGGCATTGGTGGATGCTAATTACGGTGACTAGACTATCTGAGCACTTCTCGATTACAAGGTTCAATTCGGAACAGAAAAATCGTTTTGCTAATATTGATTGTTTGTTACGAATTGTCTTCTTTGTGTTATCTGTCCATTTCAGCTCACCGGGTGCGGAAAGAATCGAGAGCATTTAGCAGAATCTCATTGGAATGCCCAATTCGAACACAGGATGACAGCTCCACTTGATAGTGCAAAGATGAAGGACAGACTAACACTGTACCGTAATGAAAAATAGCTGAACACGGATTGGTCATCAGCGTAGGGCATACACTCGTGTATTTGTGTCAGGAATATATCAATTTGCTATTAGGAGCCGAAACTGGAATTGAAATTTGAACAAAAAAGAAAGAGAGGTAGGATTCAGAGGAGCCATAACTGAGGTCATCACAGGTTGTTTACCAAAGGTTTGAAAGAAATCGCGAACGTTGCGCAACATAGCTCACCGGGCAGGGAAGCCTTTTTGTTCCGCAGTCGAAGAGTTCAAGAGAATTCATGAAATGGGGTATCAAGACTTTTTTTCCTATTCAATTTCTCTTTTACAGGCCACACCGCTATTCATGCGATGTGATGTAATGCTATTATATGCATAGCGCGTTCCGCCGTGTTGCATCGAATCACCTAACAACTGATATCTCCAGAATCATATTATTCCCATACACATGATGAACGCCTCTAACCACCCCGGAATTCCCACGCACGCATTTTCGATTCTTACATCCCGTCTTTCAACTCATTCATTCTCACAGCATCTCATCCGATTCCCTCAACCACGCCCTCGCCAAATCCTTTGCCAATCCTAACCTCAATACCCTCAAGATATCCACATCTGTCATGCCCGCATTAATTCCTTTCCTCCAATCCCACCCCCTCTTAATACTCCCCTTGTTCTTCAGAATTCCACTCGCCGTAACCGATTTATGAAATTGCGAAGCCATCATTGAACTTCCTACCATTGAGAAGCTCCCAGAAGTACCCGATGACGATTGACTCAATAAGTCCATGGGATTAGAGCCCTTTAGACCTGAAGCGTTTTTAATGACTGTTTCGAGAAAAGCGTTGCAGACGGCATAGATACGTGGACCGATACCCTGGATATCTTCGATCGTGCGGAGGAGGATATCAATTTGAGAGGTGCTGAGGAGGGAATCGGGCTGGTTAACGAAGGGCATGGCTTCGCCTAAGAGCGCAAGAATGTAATGAACAGGGATGACGGCCCCACGATCTTCATCGTAGATACCACCGCGAATGTTGTCGTCGGAACTGATTATCAATGCTAATAGAGCATTGGCTGCTTCCGACCTTCGGGTGATCGCACCCATTGCTGGTTTAGAACCTGGTGATAACATGACTTCTTGGTCTCTCAGGGTATAAAACCTACGGAGCGTTGCGTATCCGCTTAATGAAGTATGAACAAGTTCTGCAGCTTCGAGGTCCATACTAGACATTTCATTTAGAGCGTTCTTTGGAGATGAGATTAATCGCTGCAAATGGTCATCAAGGTCGGCCTCTGGAGGATAGGCTGTCGAGTATACCAAACATAATTGAATGAGAGTATCAAGGACATCCTTAACCTTGGCGGAATTATGAGCTAAAGCATAATACCATAAGGCTTCACCAGGAGAAATGTTGTCTCGGGCAAGTGAATCGGCATATGACTATAGGTTGTTAGCTGACTGTGTATATTGGTGCATCAAAAGGTCATATAACACATACCATTGCGATGGCTTCGGCTTGAGAACTCATATTAAGATCATTGAGTAATCGCCAAAGTTTATCGACAATCCCAGCACTATCTAGCTTAACTGTTCTCATGATTTCACCCACCATATCTTCGGATCTCTTTTCTGAATCGAGTCGGCCCAATACAGCGATCGCTAGTTCCCATCCTTCTTTTGTTATCTCGGCGTGTCCAATCACTGCAGTCAACTCCGGCAGCTCTTGTAATGACCTTGCATATGTAATAAGAGTAAGATCTTTGACGCCATCCTGTACTGTTGGTGCGCCAAGATTGATAAGATCAAGGTCTTCTTGGTCAAGTTCGCCATTTGCAAGCAGACCTTGAGGTTCAGTACGAGGAAGCCACCCAGCCAACGATGCGACTTCAGCTAAAGCGGAAGATACAGGGCCAGACCAAGCGCGCAAAATACAAATGAGGGATTCAGTGTCACCTTGAAATAGGCAAGCTAATCCAACTTCAACCATATCATTGCTGTTGACATGAAAGTCGGTATTGCTTGCAGCTACAACCTCAAATGCTCGCTGAAGTTTGCGAAGATCATTTTCTGACTCATAATTGATTGCAGAAGCGCGAAGACTATTGATTGATCGCCCCGGAGCTAAACGTCTGTCGTCTTTCTCCTCGTCATGCCATACAAGTAGACCGATAGTTGCTTCACACCAATCCTGGGAATTTTCAATGATAGGGATAGACTCCCCCATAACCAAACTATAAAGTGTAAGTAGGTTCTGGTAGATATTCCATGGTACCCTACTTGCAGCCCTCTTTGCAAGCTTACTATAGTCTCCACCTAGACTACTCCTCATGGAAGACTTTCCAAATCGATTTGATTCATGGCGAGTACCACCTTCTGCGAATTGTTTTAGATCCTCTGTAGCTTGTGATATCCGAAGCCGAAACAATTTCCAATCATTTCCATAGATATTCCAATCTCCATTTATTGCCGGACATAGAGAGAGAACATTGGTCGCATCCTCTACTACCTTTTCGACATTAGTCAGGGCTACTCCAGTAAAGCCGTCCGCCCCGCCTTGAGCATTGATGTCATCTGCATCAGACCACGAGTACCTCCAACCAGCACTTTTGAGGCAATTAATAACAGCTACAAGTCGCCCACGAACGACATTATTAAGTATAGTAGTCCAGAATAAGTGATGAGAAGCAGGGCTCGGTCTGGTCGCCTGAACTTCTTCAAGTTGTTGTGGAAAAGGATCATGAAACTCCTCCAGCCAATCTAGCATGATTTTGGGAAGAGGCTTAACCACGGTTGCAAATCCCTTTTCAACCGGTTTTGAGTGATGGATTTGCATTGCAAGATGAGCCAGGTAATTAGCCTTTGCAAATTCTGAGGCTGCTGGACCTGGGCCAATGATCGAAGCGTACTCTTGCTCATTGTAGACTCCACTTCGTTCACTGTACTCCTGCCAAAGTGCCGTTAATTCGCTCGGTATGAGTGCTAAAGCACGTTGAAGTTTTTCTTCATTGTCTGCCTTTCCCACACCCTGTTCGTAAAGTCTTGTAATTATTGCCTCCGTCTTCAATATTAGATCGTCTTCTTCATCTACGGCTGGTATTCCCTGGCTTTCAGATAGGGTTTTCGCGATTCCAGCAAAATCCGAAGCGGGCACCCTTTTACTTTGTGATTGCGCCAAAGATGCCTGAAAGTCTATCGAATCGTTTCCCATACTCTGTCGCATTTGTCCACCGGATGTGCTTGCAAACCGAACCGAATTGCTGTGCTGATTAAAGATGTTGCGGTTCATTGACTTTGTTCCGCGATAGTCGTCTAGGTCATCGTCCTCGTAGCTGGCATCTTCACTCTCCATATCCTGCTCCTCATCATAAGAATCTGCGAAGCGATTGCGAGTCTTTGTATCAAACCCAGCATCTTCTTCATCCTCATCATCCTCCTCCTCCTCGCTTCCCGATAGCGATCGTAAATTCCTTTGCGACTTTTGAGATTTGTTGCCAAATACCGCTCTCTGTGGTTTTGATGCCGGTCGTGTGAAGAGAGGAGAGGAGAACTGTGGGCTCTGGAGCTCGGAATGACCGAAGTCTGATTGAGAGTGACCAAATTCCGATTGCTGTGAGTACTCTGAATATCCAAAAGCCGACTTGTTTGGGGTTGGGCTTCGCATAGTGCTCTCCAAAAATGATGATGGCGCAGGTCCAGCGGGAGTATAAGAGCCGGCCGATGAGGGAGGGGCTCCAGCAGGTGTAGTCGATGGATTATTTGAAGTTCCAAAACTGAATCGACTATTGGTGCTTCTATTTGGTGTTGAGGGAGGGCTAGAGGAATACTCAAAGCCAGGCATCTTGCATTTAGCTGACCGTGTTCGACAATGGTAAAAGGTTGTACTTATTATGCGATTTGTTTCTCAAAGCTGTATTCTTTAATTGACCAATTTGAGCTTTGTCGGCAATGTTAATGAAGTTTTTGTATACAATTAATACCTAGGTATTCATTTATGAAAGTTCATCTACCAACCCCTGTCCAACCATTTTCAAAGAGCTATCGCGATAACTAGCGCATAACCTTATTTCACGCGTCGACAATAAACAATTTCCAGAACGTCAATAATTAAGATATCTTGGAGTTAAATTGCAAAATACTGCGCATCACAGCTGTATTGTTTCTTTGATGCTTCAGTAATGCCAAGGTAACCAATTTTCCATTCTTCTATACATCGCGGCCGCTGACTCTATTTTGTTAACAGAGAAATAATTACGGTCCAGGCCGGCCAGTGCGGCAACAGCAGTCAGTATACCCCTCGTCTGGCCATACAAGATGGAGGAGATTCTAATTGGGAATTTGGGTAGTTGGTAGTCAGTTCTGGCAGCAGTTGTGTCAGGAACATGGCATAAGTCAAGATGGTAATCTTGAGGAATTTGCGACAGAGGGAGGAGACAGAAAAGATGTATTTTTCTATCAGTCGGACGACACACGATATATCCCCCGAGCCATTTTGATCGACTTAGAGCCCCGTGTATGTGCTTCTTGATCTTCTATGCTATGTGTTGGTATATTTGGGGTGTTAATTTGTGGTTATCAGGTCCTCAATGGTATCCAAACCGGTCCATACAAAAATATCTACAATCCCGAGAACTTTTTTGTTGGAAAGAATGGTTCAGGTGCCGCGAACAACTGGGGAGATGGATACCAAACGGGCGAATCTGTGCATGAGGAAATTATGGAAATGCTTGATCGAGAAGCCGACGGTAGTGACTCGCTTGAGGTGGGTAATCGAACAATTTACACGAACGATTAAGCTAATCTAAGCAGGGCTTCATGATGTTACACTCTATAGCAGGTGGTACTGGTTCTGGATTGGGATCTTTTCTGCTCGAAAGACTGAACGATCGCTTCCCTAAGAAGATTATACAAACCTACTCCGTATTTCCAGACACTACCAATTCTGGCGACGTTGTTGTACATCCATATAACAGTTTGCTATCCATGCGAAGATTAACACAGAATGCCGATTCAGTTGTTGTGCTTGACAATGGAGCACTGTCTAGGATCGCTGCGGATAGATTGCACGTCCAGGAACCTTCGTTCCAACAAACTAATCAGCTGGTCGGTATTCCCCCTTTCGGAGCCAGACTTTGCTTTATTAACATGTACAGGTTTCTACCGTTATGTCAGCTAGTACCACTACACTCAGATACCCAGGATATATGCACAATGATCTCGTTAGCATAGTTGCCTCGCTCATCCCAACTCCTCGTTGTCATTTCTTAATGACGGCCTATACCCCATTCACAGGAAACAATGTTGAACAGGCGAAGACCGTACGGAAAACTACAGTTTTAGATGTCATGCGAAGACTGTTGCAGCCAAAGAACCGCATGGTATCTACAATTCCTGGCAAAAAGAGTTGTTACATATCCATATTGAACGTCATTCAAGGAGACGTTGATCCGACTGATGTCCACAAGAGTCTTCTTCGAATCCGGGAGCGACGACTTGCGACATTCATTCCATGGGGTCCGGCAAGTATTCAAGTTGCGTTGACCAAAAAGAGTCCATACATACCCATGAATCACAGAGTCAGTGGTCTTATGCTGGCAAATCACACAAGTATAGCAACAGTGAGTGTCTTTATAGCTATTTTGCCCCAAAATATTGACATATTATAGCTGTTTAAACGTATCGTGAGACAATACGATGGAATGCGCAAGCGTAATGCCTTCATGGAAGGTTACAAGAAAACTGCACCCTTTGCTGACAATCTCAATGAATTCGATGAAGCTAGGGAAGTAGTAACAGATCTTATCGCGGAGTATGAAGCTGCAGAAGACGCAGATTATCTTAGCCCTGATTCTGGAAATGCTGCTTCAGCGGGAGAAACAAGTGATAGAAGGCTTCCTTAATTGTCTGCACATTTACAGCAGATGGGTATGATAGCATTGTTGGAGTCGAGGATTAGGATTCAGGATGGGACGAAAGGTGTGTCTAGGAGCTGAGGGTACATCGAGTGTCCTATCTACTGGCGCCTAAATATTGAGGACATTGCAATTGGCGTTTTTTACAAGGATGATTAATGATACCAAATTATGAAGAAGTTTCTAGTATTTTTTTTTACCATCGAGATTTCCATTTGAGATCGAATTCTACCGAATCAAATAATTCAATTGACGTTGATTTCGGTTTGTTCCCGGCGGTACCTAGTGTCTTATTAGTCATGTCATAGGAGTTTATGCCCCACCAAAGTTTGATGCTTGACATGATCGACATCATAATTACATCACATCTTTTAGAGCCCCTCAATTTCTCAATTATCTGATGTTCCGGAGCGAAATCTCCAAACACAACAAGGAATAATTTAACTATGCCTTGGTACAGTACCTGAGTAAGGTGGAGTATGATTTTGTCATAGAACATGACTTCGAGAGTTTGAACGCCTTTTTAATCCCCCGTTTTCCCCCTCATTTTTCCTTCCTTCTTCATACTACAAAACAAACATCACACACAATATACCAATTCGCAACGAATACCCTCACAAACAACTACTCTAATTCACAAACAAACAGTGAGCTTCCCTTCATTCAACGTTTTACTCGGTCTCATCTAACATATTTTAGAACACACACAACCTCACACATATATCAACATGCCAGAACAACAATCCAAAGCCGACCTCATCGCTGAGCGTCAAGCCAATCTCCCTCTCCCAGAAGATCCTCCTGTCGCCAGCGACTGGAACTCTGCCGATGCTACCAAAGTCAACGTTGGATCAGGAAGAGACGTAACTAGCCAAACCTCAACTGGCAATGCTCAACAATCTGGATTGGAGGGTGCTGCTACTGGAGGAAGCGGTGTTAGAGAAGCTGGTGGTGTTGATATGAGCAATATTGGACGCGAAGGTGTTGAGAAGAAGAACTAAGCGTTGGACCATTTTGAGAATGGGTGTATTATATTTTTTAATCATTGGAATGATTGATGATGGGTTATGAAGGAAAAAATAGCATTGATGGACGGGATGGGTGGGATGAGATGCTGTATTATACGCATCGTGTATGAAATAGACATGAACTAGCTCTGTAAAGGCTACGAAATACAAAAACTTCATCAAATTCTTGGGACATACTAATTGAAAGTTGCATTGTGTCCAATTCGCATTATTAGATAGTGTGTTTATTCATCAAAATCCCTTATTATTCGCCGAGAGCTCGAATTTTTATTTTATGGATGATTCAGAAGCTGGGCGCGCCTGATTTGTATCATATATTGGAGGGACTCGAGAGTTTTAATCTTCATGTGATTGCCGCGTACACTCCTTCCTTGATAATGAGTCTTCTGGATTAAATAGAGATGAAATAGCCGTTGCATTTTTATCGCTACAGGTTGTACTTGAAATCTCAACCTTATGGCCTCTTAATCACTCGACAACAGCAACAACAGGTAGAGCATATGGGAACCGCTAACCGTGAAGCAGATAGATTGCTTGCTGATCTGATATCAGGTGATAAAACACTATGATTCTTACAATCCAATGACCATTATGAATAAGTACCTTCAAAGCTCGGGGGGGCCCTAAAACCTGGGGAATGATTTCGATGCTTGACATGCAGTCAAATGCTCAATCGGATAAAATCAGATTTACTTGGATATTCGGCATCAACTTTTCAATATTTATAGATCCCACTGCTTAAATTAACCATTCCGTTTCACACTAAAGATTTCGAAAGCATGTGGAAAGTATGTCACCAAGAAATATCAGGGACACCTTTGTTACATGAAGCACGTGATGAATTACCCCTCAATTTCCAGAGGCTTATCGCTGACGTCGTCCGAAATGTGCAGAAGTGCCACCACTATCTTTAGAATCTCCACAAGTTTAAAACATTCCTATGAGTTGATTGACGGGAACGTGCTCGGCGCCATACTTATGTAGTAGAAGTAATAATAAGTAGTAGAAACAGGAAAAGATTCGATTAATGTGATTCTTTGAGTTTAAGAATGATGTCATGAGAGCGCCAGCTGTATATCTTAGGTTTGAAACAAAGCACTTCCAGGAATGAATTAAACAATCAAACAACTTGTCTGTATCTTCAAGTCGTGAAGAATAATTGCTTGAATCTTCTAACACCAAGTTTCATAATCATCGTTTCACATTCAAAATGTCTGGAGCTGGTACAAAGGTAAATACTTGCTCAGAATCTTTCATGTTCAACTCCATGTAGTTGCGTTTAATAGCTATCCCATGAGGATTTTGTTGGGGATTGCTTGCCTCATACGACTCAAGTTCTATCATGATTGCTAACACAACTTTCAACAGGTCAAAGATCCACACTCAATCATCAAAGAGGGTGCCGGAGCAATAGCATCAGATTCCCTTGCAGCCGAATCTACGAGAGCTGGCGGAGACTTCGCTAAAAATCGCGACGGTGAACCGTTAGGCGTCGCAGGCGCAAACTCTACATTTGCAAATACCAATACATCTGGAGCTACTCGTCTAGATCCTGCTTCCGATGCTGAAGCACGAATGGCGACTGAAGATTGGGCGGAAGAGAAGAAACTTGGAGTTACTGGTTCATACCAGAAAGATGTCGGCAACCCCAATGTAAAAGAGAGCACAAGTAATGCGGGGGTCGCACCGAGTTATGTGTCCAATCAATACCAGTCTGGCGGCAAACCGAAAGGAAAGAACTTGACGGAAGGGGGATTTGAGAGTAATGATGCAAAGAATGCGAGTTTTACTTCAGAAATTGGATCGAAGAATGATCCGAGTCGACTTGCTGAGCAGAAGATGCAGAGAGAGAATGCTCAGTCAGCAAATGATGCAGGCTTCCCCAGGGATAACAACGCAACGGGTGGAACTCCATATGATGCTTTAGGTGGTGATACCGCAGCTTAAGGGATTACAATTGATAAGTTCAGGAAACAGTCTGAGGAAATTGTTTGGAGATCGCTTTGATGACATGATGTGATGAAAAGAAATAAGTTTTGTATATGATTCTACTTTTGATGTCTTTGATTGTTTTATTACAGACTTCATACATCTGAGTGCCAATCGAATGACCCATGTATTATCACGTGATTCGGCATGCTGAGGGGGAAATTGGCTCAAGCAGTTACTTCCTCTGATAATTCTCGAAGACTAGCAGGACTTCGTGGCAGGAGCACTTGTCTCGCTGGCTTATGATCGAATATTATTGCTCAGTAAGAGATTGATTGATTCACTGTGCCCATATGATTCAATCGATAGAATGATTGAATTCAACACTCAAAACTGATCTGCTCGGACTTGCCCTACAGGAAGATGTGCCTGAAATTTAAGGATATAACTGGAAGGATTCGATCAATTCAAGTCAACCATTTCCTATCAGGATCAGATACTTGTTCTTCCCTTTTGCCATCAAAGAAATTTCTCAAGTCCTCAAGCTGTTGTGGTAGAAGAAATAATTTTTCGAGTTCTAGGTCAGAGTCCATTATTTTTGGAAGTGGCGCTAGTACCACCTCGCTTAGAAAAACCTCCCACCACAATTTCTCAAATATTTCCAACCAGCACTGTTACCGTTGCCATTTCGCCCATCCTTCAATTCTCCGTTCACCAGATCAATACTCCAACATGGCGGAACAACTTATCCTCAAGGGCACCCTCGAGGGCCACAGCGGCTGGGTCACCTCTCTCGCAACTTCTCTTGAGAACCCAAATATGCTCTTGTCTGGTTCCCGCGACAAGTCCCTCATCATCTGGAACTTGACCCGGGATGAGACTTCATACGGATACCCAAAGAGATCTCTCCACGGACACTCCCACATTGTCTCTGACTGTGTATGTTAAACCTCACTCGAAAATCGGTGGCTCTGGGAATTATGAGCGCAATCTGCAAATTACAATTGAATGCTGAGACTTTGATTTCTAGGTGATCTCTTCCGATGGTGCTTACGCTCTTTCCGCATCCTGGGACAAGACTCTCCGCCTTTGGGAGCTTGCCACTGGTACCACCACCCGCCGATTTGTTGGACACAACAACGACGTTCTCTCCGTTTCCTTCTCTGCCGATAACAGACAAATTGTCTCCGGATCCCGCGACCGCACAATCAAGTTGTGGAACACTCTCGGTGACTGCAAGTTCACCATCACTGAGAAGGGACACGCCGATTGGGTTTCATGCGTTAGATTCAGCCCTAACCCACAAAACCCAGTCATTGTCTCCTCTGGATGGGACAAGCTAGTCAAGGTAAGCTACAATCAGTCTTTATGGTATTTCAAATTGAAGTTGTGCGAAGTTTTCATGATGTTCTACAAAGTATTTGCTACTTCAGAGCTTGGGAGACCTTGCCATGAGACAATTAACACTATTTTTCTGAAAATTGTCTTCGCACAATTCATTTGATACCAAAATTACTTACTCAGAAAATGCTAACATTCAATTCTTCAGGTCTGGGAGCTCAGCTCTTGCAGATTGCAAACCGACCACATCGGACACACCGGTTACATCAACACCGTCACCATCTCCCCAGACGGATCCCTTTGCGCTTCCGGTGGAAAGGACGGAACCACCATGTTGTGGGACTTGAACGAGTCTAAGCACCTCTACTCCTTGAACGCTGGTGATGAGATCCACGCCCTCGTGTTCTCCCCCAACAGATACTGGCTTTGCGCCGCCACCTCCAGCAGCATCATCATCTTCGATTTGGAGAAGAAGAGCAAGGTTGATGAGTTGAAGCCAGAGTTCCAAGCTGTTGGCAAGAAGAGCAGAGAGCCAGAGTGTGTCAGTTTGGCATGGAGCGCGGACGGACAAACTTTGTTCGCAGGTTACACAGATAACATCATTCGGGCTTGGGGTGTTATGTCGAGAGCGTAAGGGGGTGGTTAAACAGGCGTGTGTCAATTCATCTTGAGGTTTTACGGCTTTTCCGGGGTTTGTGGTTCCTTGTCGATTGGCAGGATGTACTTCAAAAACATGGCATAGCAGAAGGCTCATGGACATGAAAAATCCAAACAACGTAAAAAGTAATTTCCATGCATTATGATCATCTTGCCGTGCGCGTGAAAATGCTGTGTTGACCCAGGTATTGACGAGTGATTATACATGATTGGGTATGCATAAGTTGCGGGGAATAATTATTGACAGGCAAACTAGTGCCACTTTAATATGGACTTTTACGGGCGCGTCCCCCAAATTCTAAACGCGTGTGTCGAAAGCCACTTTGTGTGATGATCATGAACCAAACCTATTACTTAGAGTCAATCTCCACCAATTGCTCAGCATGGTTGCTTGCCCCATTTGCGAAAAGCAAGTGAAAGCTAAAGACATTAATAGTCACATTGATTCGGGATGTGAAGACTTCATTGACACAGTCTCTCCTCCACCTACTCAGCAGAATGCATTTGTTTCGCAGAAACCAGCTTCCACGCAGAAGCCTTCCGTCTCCAACTTCTTTTCGACACCTGCGACTAAGAAGACAGCATTGCATCCTACCCCAAAGATAGAACAGAATTCGACGTCCAATTTTCAGCAGAAAGTGCAAAATGGAACAACTGGGAAGCGGCAAGAAGATGGGAGTGCGAGTGGATCCTTGACTTTTCAGCGGAAGAGATCATTTGACGATGCCGAGACAGAGTTACAGAGGGAAAATGATACTGTCGATCCACCGGCGAAGAAGATTAAGACCAACGCCTTTCAAAAGGTCGCTCCGTTAGCAGAACGAATGCGTCCGAGAAGTCTAGACGAAGTGTGTGGACAAGAGTTAGTTGGGCCACACGGAGTTTTACGCAGTCTCATTGAACAAGATCGTGTCCCATCAATGATACTGTGGGGTGGCGCTGGCACAGGTAAAACTACAATTGCACGGTGTGTGGCTGCAATGGTAGGAAGTCGGTTTGTCGAGATCAATAGTACATCTACTGGGGTGGGCGATGTGAAGAAAATATTTGCTGAGGCAAGAGGGGAACTGGGACTTACTGGGAGGAAGACAATAATATTTTGCGATGAGATCCATCGATTTTCGAAGAGTCAACAGGATGTATTTCTTGGGCCTGTGGAAAGTGGGCAGGTCACTCTGATAGGAGCTACTACCGAGAATCCGTCTTTTAAAGTCCAGAATGCTCTGCTGTCCAGATGTCGGACATTTACATTATCGAAGTTGACGGATGAAGACATATTAGAGATACTAGAAAGGGCTTTGAAGACCGAGGGGCCAAATTATACTCCTACAGATCTTGTGGATACAGAGCTCTTGAAGTATCTATCTGCCTTTTCTGACGGTGATGCTCGGACGGCCCTGAATCTCCTAGAGCTAGCCATGGGCTTGTCTACAAGGCCCAATGTCACTAAGGAGGACATCAAAGCTTCTCTTACTAAAACGCTGGTGTATGATAGAGCTGGCGATCAACACTACGATACTATCTCTGCTTTCCACAAGTCGGTAAGAGGTGGTGACGCAGATGCTGCTCTATACTACCTTGCAAGGATGCTTCAATCCGGGGAAGACCCTCTTTATATAGCTAGGCGGATGGTGGTTATGGCCTCAGAAGATATAGGACTGGCCGACAACACCATGCTAACACTCGCAACCAGCACATACACCGCGTGCGAGAAAATCGGTATGCCTGAATGTCGAATCACAATGGCTCATGCTACTGTGGCTCTTTGTCTAGCGCCCAAGAGTACCAGAGCATATAGAGGATTGAACAACGCATATTCTGCCCTGAGGGAACCTGGAGTAGCCAGTTTGAGCATCCCCATTCATTTGAGAAATGCACCTACGAAATTGATGAAAGAGTTGGGGTATGGAGATCAGTACAAATACAATCCTAATTACAAGGAGGGCAGAGTAGTTCAAGAATACTTACCCGATGAATTGAGAGGTAGGAAGTTTTTAGAGGATAGGGATTTGGGGACAGAAATTGATCCGGGTGCTTGGCCTTGAGGTCACATAGATGATTGTATTGGGTATACCTGGTGCATTGCAACGGTGTTTAGGTCTATGATTGGCGTTACAACAAGTCCATACTCTTTTACGAGGATTGTTCATTGAAAGTACCTAGGTATGTTGATTTGGTAAGGTGTATGTAAAGTTGCGCATGAACAGCAACGATTTATGTACATTTACATATATAAGGAAACACCTCTCGCTCCTGCCAGCGCCCGTCTTTCATTGAGCTACCGGCTCCCAAAATGTGATCCTTTTGATTGATTCGACCCCAGAACTCCTCGCTGATAATGCATTCCACCGCCCATACCTGAGATTCCAAACCCAAATTATTATTCGTATCTTTTTTTGTTATAATCCATTCCCCTACGGCTCTAAAGACACCAAATCCTCATCCATTGGCGAGGGTGGAGGTTGAGGCTGTGGCTGCGTTCTCCTTCTTGCCGGTGCACCTTTTCTGAAATACTGCTTCTCTGCATTAACTACCATACTGCGATCATCTAGCGCCAGCCTTGTATTTTCACTCCCCCTTCCACTACCAGAATTTGTAATTCCCAGTTCCAACATGGTACGTTCCCACAACGCGTGCCTTTCCTTACTCTTCGGATCTCTACCAGCCATTCGTTTCATTTCCCTATCTTTGCCCACCTTCCCAACCTTCACCAGCCGTCTCAGAGCCTCCTCCCCCATCTTGGCATTCTCCGCAGCCTTCTCACGGATTTTTCGCGGATCCGTTAAGCGTTCGCTCTCTTTGGGCGTCCATTTAAATGTATGTTTACTAGGAAAGGCGGGGAATCCTTTCGGAATATATGATTTCTGTGCCTTTTCCACCTCACCATTAAGCTCCACACCTAATATCCTTATGACATTCTTTGTCGTAGGGTCTTCCTTTGGTATGGGTTCTAATTCTAATTCAAGCTTCGGTACGGAAATTGGAGGTCGCAGATGCGGTTCTAATGATGCGAGAGGTAATTGATACCGATTAAACGCGTACGATATATCGAGGGGTATGGGAATATTTCTTCTCGCATTATTCATCGAAGAAGTGACTTGAGCAAGTAAATGCGTCGTATCTTAAATCTCGTCAACAAAAGGCTTCTCAGCCCACAGGTGAGGATATACAAACAAGTATCGACTTCGGCACACATGGCCTCCAACGCTTCTTCCGTCGCCCGGTCAAACCCAACGTGTTCCAATGTCTGACAAATTGATCGGCGCAATAGCATCCGCACATTGCTGTCGAAAAGTGAAGACTCCATTTTATCGGGACGCGACAATTCGAGCTCGGGCGGAGGGGTTTGCGGGAGGACGGGCGACATGCGTTGCCTTTTTCGATAAGGCTCCTCCATGTCGTCGTCGCTGGATGTAGGTGTCGATCGTTTTCGTGACACTGGGACCATGATCGCAATGCTTTATTGTATGTATGTTATTTTTTTCGCACCCACAGCAAGCTTTAAATAAACAAATCGCGGGTATGGGTGTGGAAAGAATGATTCATGGCCGTAGTGTGAATTCAATTGAATGAACGTTCCGCGTTATCGAAAGCGTAAATTGCTGCTTGTGAATATCAAAGGTTCAGAAGTATCGATCACGTGGAGAAATCGAGTTGACTGCTGCGGATTTAGCGTTGCTGCCTCAGGTATTAAGAGCGCGCTAAAATTGGACGCTCGGCGAGCGTGGGATGCATCATGCGATTTTGAATCTGAGCAAGCAATTAAGAGATACAGAACCTAATATTCTTCCCCTCGAAAGAAATATACAAAATGGCCATCAAACCAATTACTGGAGTACGTCTTCCTCTCTGTCTGCTGTGGGAAAAGTGAGGAGCTTGGAATTGGAGTTGGAAAGTTGGAAGGACATAATTGAATTGGGTGAATGGAATTGGAGAATGAGCTGACCTTTTGTACTGTAGATGCTCCGAAGAGGGCTCGTCCTTGACCTTAGCGTCGCTTTCGGTATGTGGTGAACAGATGTCTTGTCGAATGCGAATGGAGGGAGAGCATGAATGGAGGCAGAGAGTCTGCAGATATCGCAGAGGTGAAGCAAAGCAGTCAACTAACACGACCCACCAGGTCTCGGAACCACATTCGGATATGCCTTCTGGTAAATCTTTCCATGTTTAAACGGCGTCAAGACACATAGTATTAACATAGTAACAGGTACGGATACCACGTCCCAGCCGTCCGCAAGCGCGATGCATTCTACGCCAAGTTGGAGGATCAGAGAGCTGCCAATGCTGCTGCATGAGGAATGAGGATAGACAAAAGGACATAGATTGGACTAGGTGTCTCGGTATGGTGGATGGTTGAAACAGGCAGAGGTGGAGGGAAGGATATTGCATGCTGGGAGGCTGGAATGGGTAGGCAAGCTGTACATTACCAATATCGATGATGCTTTGGCAATGCATGCATTTTATTCTCTTCGGAACTGTGAGAAATCCTTTTGGGAGAAGCATGTGTCTATTTGGAGAAGCCATGTGATGGGCGGATGAGGCCTTGGGTATCTTGCAACGAAAAGCAGAATGGGGTGCAGTGGTTTTCATGAGAAATGCATTGGATATTCGTGGCCTATTTGTTTGCTTGGATTCTTTGAGAGTAGGAAAATGCGCTTGAAATATACACTGTATCGAAATTGGGGTACTGGGTGGTAAAGCCGTACCGCGCTCTTTTGATTGATTGCTTCATTCAAGCAAAGCAAAGGTTTGATATTCTTGCCATTCCCATAATATGTCGGACAACATTTAATACTACTACACATACAGCACATAAAAAGCCCTCCCAACTCAAGGCTCTCTCCATGTTCAAATTGATGATACGCATTGCGCATGAGCATGGCATCCCATCACGTGTACTATGCTCCATCTTAACGACCATTGTAGAGCTTAAGGCAAAGCAAATCCACGCTTCACCGGCATTCCCAATGCAGATTTATCTTCTCCCTCTATCCCAACTTCCACACAACCTCCCCACCCTTCTCCCCCATCCCTCTCCATCCCTTCCCCCTAGCAACCTCCTCCCTCCTCTCCCTCTCCTCCAACATCTCCTCCACACTAGCCCCCATCCCAAACGCCCCAACCTCTTCCCTCTCCACCCTCAACCACCCTCTCCACCCCATCACCACCTCCGGCCTCCCCATCCCCCTCAAACTCCCCATATCCACACCCTCTCTCCCCTCAACCCCAAAAAGTATCGTCCCTCCAAATTCCCTCCCATAACTGTCATGATTCCCATACAACATATATTCCTCCACCCCCTTCAACGTACTTTCCAGATTCTGAGCTGAAGGTCTAAAGATATGAAGATGTTTAAGATCCGACCTCCTCAATCCATTCTCCTTCAGTCCTGCTTCAAGTCCCTCATCTTCTTCTCCATCATCTTGAAATACTAGAAACGAAGGAGAGAATCTTGAGTGCACATCAATCAACACAACGCACTTTCCTACCTTTCCATCCTCATTTCTCAGAAGTGCGGTTAATATATGAATTAGCAGCGGTAACTGTCTCCCCGAAACAGACAGTCTCGGTTGGTTTTGATACGAATTAGACCACAGTTCATCTAGAGAATGTATATGAGTTCTCGACGGACGGGGATTCAATGTATTTGTAACAGTGGTTAGAAGCTTGTGATATTTATCAGCTTCAATTTCTTGTCTTGTGTGAATTTAGTTGCCAGGAAAATAAAAGGAGGGAGGGGAGATTCGTTATCGATAAGCAATGAGATGGAATATCCTACATACCGATTCCAAACTCTCTTCGCTCTCATCAACTTCTCGTAATAATCTCCTGCCAAATACCTCTTCGCTAGATCTGCTATCCATTTTACCCTCACTCTTCCCTGTCTTCTTTCCCGATCTTCAATCCTCAATCCTTCCCCCCAAACAAAGAACAAATGACACCACCTCTCCTCCCCTTCCCACCCAGTGCCCTCCCTTTCGAATCAACCCTCACGTCCAAGTCCCAATACCGAAAGGGTTTCGACGGGAAGCTCAAAAACTGTGAATTACTGGAATTGTGGCAATACAATTGCGATTTGCAAAAGGATAGGGATGGGAAGGTTGGGGAAAATATTGTTTGTAGACCCGTGGAACGACTTTTTCGTCGGTGAGTTTTGTTTTCTTCGGGAGAGATTTAGTAGGAGTGGATATTGTGTCTTGAATGGAGGATGAGTAATGGATGCTGATCGGTCTATAGGTGTAAAGATCGAAAGGGAACTTTTATGGTGGAGACGACAGTTTGGGAGGGAGAAGGAAGTGCAAAGTGATAATCGCGGATTTGGTGTTGGATGCTTGTGGTTAGCGTGAACCCTTGCTTGGTGAGAAGATGATACTGCGGAATCGAATTGGTAGATGGAGAGGGCATTACACATGATTAAATCGATGATAAAATTGATTGAGGTTTACATAAGTTATTAACCTTTTTGCTTTAGAAGCTGTGCATATTTTCAATTCTCTACAAACCGTGAGACATTCGTTTGCCCCTAAATGCTTCCAAACACCACCATTCCATGACCCATCTTTGATACCAACTCCTTAAGCATCTCATCATCACTCCTGATATCTATTGACGAAATTACAACCTCGAAATCGCATCCAATAGCTCTTCGATCTCCTTGCTCTTGCTCTTGCCCGTCTCTTCCTCTTCCGCTGCTAAAGGAGAGTGGTCCTCACCGTCCTCCTCTTGCAAAGCCTCGTTATCCAAAGCGTTAAGTTTCTGCCGCACCGCACAAATCTTAGCTTGATCCTGCAGCGCCTCCAGGTTTTCGTTTGGGAGAACCTTCCAAAAACTCTCCGTCTGAACCATCATCTTCCAGTAAACTGCTAAATTTTCATGTGCCATACGATCACCCCACACCTTACTGACCGACTCAAATACCGGCATGATTGCAAAATCTGCAAGACCAATTTCATCGCCTGCTATGTATTTTGCTTCTTTGGCGTAGCTATCCCATTTAGCGAGTTCAGCACGGAAAGGCTTCACGCTAAAGGGAACTGTTCTCCAGATCTTGATTAGGGTGTTGGCTTCTTCGAAACGGGTATAATGACGGGCGAAATGACCCGGGGATTTATAATTCGGTGAAGGATTATAGATAGCTTCAATATAAAACATGATTGGCATGCATCCTTCAACAGTAGTTCTGTCATGATCATTGTCAATAAACTTGATCACTGGTGTTTCTGGTACAAGCGTATCGTCAACTTCAAGATCTTCTCGTTTCCAATGGAAAGGTGGCGAAACAGTTGCTTCTATCCAAGGGATGCCGTAGTGGTTGAGCATGAACTTCACTCGGTGGTCGGCGATGGGATCTCCCGACAAGAAAAGCTTTTTATGGTTCGACATGTGCAGTACGTCGAATCCTTTGCCGTAGATCTCCTGCCAGTCGAAATCGCTGTCATGATTCTCTTTCCCGAAAGCTTGTAGCATTTCTTGGGTTTGTGGTGTATCTCCATTGATGATCTGCACGGCGTCTTCTTTCCTGTTGGCAGTTGCACCTTGGCCCCAAATCTTTTGTTGACTTTTATCCAGGTATGTACCAATATGTCTGAACGTCAAAGATATACGTCCACAATCATAAGCCAGTTCAGCCTTGGATTTCTCACTTGCCATTCTCTTATCTGGTCGAATGCCATGTAACCACTTCTTATTGGTTTCCAAGCCCATCTTACACAATGAATTATGTGGCAGAGCTGCCCTGCAAGATTCTCGAGGGACGCTCTGAGATTCTACACATACCGCGTTCTTCACAGGTTTCTTTGTACGGAATACCATCGTCCGTTGAGCTCCAAGGCTTACATTAGCAATGAAAGTATTAGGAATTATATCCAACGTCTTGTCACTATGTTCGGAAATATGATCATTTCCATCTCGATAGAACTGAATCAGTACGTGGTTTAGAGAATGATCAAGTCTTTTCTCAACTATCTTCTTAATAGTTTCAACTGTAGGTGAAAATGATAGGAGAGCAGGCGATTCATCTGCCGGGTGACGATATATCGGAGTACTGCCATCTTCTTCAATTTGACCCTGGACCGCTACAAGCCTTGGCACCTCACCACCCTGGTGGCCCATCTTCTGCCAAAGGACCTCGTCCCGAATTTTCTCAAAAATCCCGCTTGCCAACGTATCGGGCAGAAGGTTTTGGATGACCGTTGTATCACCTTCACAAATAGCAGCCCTGTCGGTCAATGCATTATCTTCGTCTTTTGGTATCTCGTCAAGAGATTTCTCCTTTGATGAAGGTTTTAGTTGGATTTCCTCCTTCTCGATTACCGGGAGCTTTGAACTAGGCAAAGCCACCTCAGCTAGATTTGGCGAATTTAACAAGTCAGGTGACGTAATTTTTGAAGATGCTAGACTGCGTTGCTTTGATGGGATAGAGGGGTCTTCTACTTCCACCGGCTTTGCAGTGTGTCGACGTGATTTCACTTTCGACTTAACCTTTTCTCTCTTTTTAGCTTCTGCTTCCAGTTCTGCTGGCGGTTTCGCTCGCCGAATTTGTGATCGCAGGAGTTGACTAGTGATTTCGAAATCGTCTTCGATGGCTGCCGTCGATAGGGCTTTGATGGTGGTGACCTGCGGGTCTTCTGCTTCTAGCTTTAAGTTCCCCATTAGATTTTCAATCCCAGCATTCCGAGATTCTTTTGGCTGTAGCTCTCTAGGTTTAGGACGAGATTTCTTACTGGAAGTCGTTCTCCTTTCAGCGACCTTCTTTTGCTTCTGTAAACATTCAATGAGGTCCCCGCTGCTTATGACATCGCATCCCGTGTAGGCTCTGAGCTGACGTAAAGCTTCCTCATGTCTAGCTCTACTCCTGTACCCTAGACAATCCTCAATGATAGTTATGGCATAACCGTGGCGGGCAGCGTCCATTGCCGTGGCAAACACACTGATGTTTGTAAGAGCTCCAGCTATGTAAATCTCTGTCACAAACTTGCCCCTTAATTTTTGGACCAGACTACCATCTTTGAATGCGGAATAGTATGTTTTGTTGAATACCAAGTCTTTCGTAGAGATGGGCGCAAATGCACTTGAAATGGCTGAACCTCTCGAATTGGGTTTTAGCATGCGTGCTTTGCCTTCGCATTGAACTGTCAAAAAAGCCTCTGCTGCATCCCCCTCACCGCTAGCTACCGAAGGCTTGCTTTCTTCATTGGACACGGGCTCACTTTCGGGTGTCACTTTGTCGCGTCGACGTCGTAGAAGCTCGTTATCCGTTATGATGGCCTCGCTATCATTGTGCGGTTGATTGACTATCCTCGAAACCCCCTCCGTGGTAATGCTGCATATCCATATTATGTCACCAGAAGGACGGAAAGACTCGATAAGATTCTTTATATTGTCGACATAGCTCGGGGGGGTTTCGACCGGCAGCAGGCTCTCTTCTCCTATGAAATCGTTCTGCAGATCTAGGAGTAGTAGGGCCTGTCGCGTTCGTATGAACGGTATGGTTTGTTCGTCAATTTCAAACATTTGGGGCAACCTATGATGGATATCAACCAAAGTGTTTCCAGACGAATCGACTTTGCTGGATATAGAAGATTTAAAGATTGGCACTATGTGCTACGGGCTGCACGACTCTATATGTGGTGTTTACTAGCTAAGAAATATCCATTGCTTACATTGGTCATTATTCGGAAAGACCGCCGAGAGGTAGGAGCAACGTCGATGCGTATGTAGCACCGCATGATGCTGTAAGATTCCGAAGGCAACCGGCACTGCAAATAATATGCACGGATCTGGTTTCAATCGAATAACAGACAATGTGACATTGGGTAGTACATAGGCGAATGCGAGAGACGAAATCCTCTTGGTTAGTCGATACGATGGAAAAGATTATTGTTGTATGGATGGTTTGGATCTTGACATTTAGAGTTAGAGTGGAAATGGAATGTTTCTGTTCTGATAGAAGAAAAAAGAGGATAAGGAACACGGCCCCCCCGGCAATGATGATAAACTAATCCATTTACGATCATTTTACCAACATTTTGATGAGGATATACTAGGTATCTCCGACCTAGTAGGTAGGTGCTAGGTGATTGAGACATAACATATCTACTAGGTATCTGACAGACATGGGTGACACATGGTTAGAGTAAAAAGTAGGGGAAGAAGGAGCGAGGAAAGAAGTTAATTGATTGGGGTCTTGTCTTGTCGAGCTTGTCTTATTTTTTCCTTCTTGATGGATCGATATTATATTATCCATATCTTGGCGTACACAATTAGATTGATCAACCGTTGAGAAAAGAGTTAGCCGTTGACGCTGATCTTCCCTTCTCCCCTCCACTCCTCTTCCCTTTGACAGTGGGCTAAGAGAATGAGCTAAGAGCCCTATCTACTAGGTCCTATCTACGATATCTACTAGGTAGTATCTGTAGACAGCTATTAGACACTAGTAAAAAATGACTTCAAAGGCTCACACGCTCAACCCTCGCAACATAGCGAGCATAGCCCTTTTCAACATCGGCCTGTTTCTTTGGCTTCTTATTTTTCCTGCAGATCAACGCATGTGGAATGAATCCCATGTTGCATATCAGCATTGTCATGCCACTCGCATCTCTCACCTATAGCCATTGACCAACGGTACGGAGAACACACACGCAGAAATATGTACTACAGCATATAAGCAAGTTGCATAACCCGAAACCCGTACCCAGCCCACGAATCATATCATCTCGTGAATGAATCTACACACTCTCTCCGTAAATCCATTCACCGTCATACAGACTTCAATCAAACCGTGAGATTTCACGCGGTCTTGTGTGCGAACGAGCATTGTAGTCTGTACGTTCGTAAGGAAGAACCTCGGAATCCAAGTAGCGGAGATCGTAAGTGAAAATAACGGGGTCTGATTTGATACAGCAGGGGGAATTTGTCCGACGGAATAAAGCGAAGCGCCAAGAGGAACCTTTCGATGATACCGTTAAACCATGTATTTGATAGGGGGGCGGGGAGAGGAAACATCAGTGAATATTGATTGGTTTCGTATTGTGAAGTTTGTGCTTTCTTGCATTGCACCGGAATCCGTTTCCTTTGCATTATAACACGCACTTCTATTGCGCATGTAGCTTGTAGGTACCTAGGTATAGTCACTTCATACGACAAACCATCTTTCGAGGTAAGGTGTTTTGTATGTATGACGGATGTCTAATGGAAAAAGAAACACCCCTTCAACACTACCATTTATTTCTCTTCTCCATCTCATTCTCGTTTCTCTTGTCCCACAACTCAATGATACCTTTACCTTCGCAGCTAGAGCTTGAGCGTCAAACCGTTGAGAAGTCAAGAAAACCCCTTCAACACAGCCGTCGGAAGTTTGAACTAATCATCCAAGACTCATTTGATAGATGATAGTTAAAATCCCCCCCCCCCCACAAATTTAAATAAAAAAAACTAAACAAAAAAATCCATGCACTTACGGTCTGTACAGT